AAAAAAGTAATCGGCTTTGGAAAATACAGCCTATGATAAGCAATGTCAGAAATAGATGCCAGCAACTCAAAAGATCTCAAAACGGAACTAATTCAATTGATGGGCAAATGATTCTTTTTTTAGGTCGTTGTGCGTTAAAACAATATGTCAAGAATAAGCCGAGACCTGTTGGCCTTAAAAATTTTGTTTTGACGACTTCTAAAGGAGATGTATTAGATTTTGAAATCTACCAGGGGAATACAGCTCCATTTCAACACAAAGTCCATGGACTTGGACCGGCTGTAATTCTACATTTTGCTCACAAGTTACCAAATAAAAGTCATCTATTTTTCGATAGGTACTTTAACTCAGTGCAGCTAATGGAGCAGCTAAATCATATAAAAATCCACGGTACCGGCATTATAATGAAAAACAGGCTTCAAGTAAGCTATGATTTCATTCCCGATAAAAGAATGGAAAGAGGATGATTCACAGTCAGTTATTTGAAGTGATAATAATCCCATGGTACTTACAAAGTGGATGGATAACAAAGCGGTTCTTATGTTGTCCACTTCTTTTGGAACTACACCAGAAACCACTGTGAAACGCTGAAAAAAAAATGAAAAAGAGTTTGTTGAAGTCAGCTGCCCTAACGTCATTTATACCTACAATAAAAAAATGGGAGGACTGGATGTCTGTAATCAAATGATAGAGTGTTACAGAACTTATTTCAAGACGCGAAAATGGCCGTTTAAAGTCATATTACATTTGTTTGATCTTTCTTTAGTAAATAGTTGGATGGAGTGTGTTGAAGACTGCAAATCAAACAATTTTCAAAGAACGGATATCATGGATTTTTGACATTTCTTATAGCAGTTGGCGAGTTTTTAATTGGGGGCACAAGAAAGAGGAGGAATTAGTTTAAGGAAATAACTGATTTAGAAAATAATGAAACAGGAGACGAGAAGCATAAGAAGAAAAGAATAATTCCAGCTACCCTTCCTGGTAATGACCATATGGTTATACACAAGGGTAATAAGACCCATGATAACATATGGCGCAGTGGCGTGGGTAACCAAAACTGCGCAGAAAAGTGCAATAGGTCAAGTCACTAGCATTCAGCGGCTTGCCTGTCTAAGTGCTACTGGAGCCATGTGCACTACGCCGACCGCAGCAATGGAGGTATTAATAAATCTCACGCCACTGCACATCTTCATACAAGGAGAAACCAGGTCAGCTAACTGCATAGCGCCGACCACACAAGGCTATATTAGCAAGTAAAAAGGGATAATATTCTAGCTATGCCTACTGATACAGCCATAACCACATACAAATTTGAAAGAAATTTTCAAATTCAAATACCAGCCCGAGAATCCTGAAAACAGGGACCTCCCGTACAGGCTGAACTCGTCTGGTACACAGACAGTTCAAAAACCAAGGAAGGAGCCGGTGCTGAAATCTACGGACCCAAGTCGAAATCAACGATTTCGTTGAGTTTAGGAAAATATGCAACAGTGTTCCAGGCTGAGCTAATAGCCATACAACACTGTGCAAGAGAAATATTAAATTAGCAAGTATCAGTCTAAACTATTGCCATATACTCTGATAGCCAAGCAGCTCTAAAGGCAATTCTCTCACCAGAAATCAAATCAAGACTGGTGAAAGACTGTCTAGAAGACCTGATAGAGCTAAGTAGTCAAAATAAGGTGACCTTAGCCTGGGTTCCAGGCCATGAGGGATATCAGGGCAACGAAAAGGCCAACGAATTAGCCCGAGAAGGCTCAAATAAGGCCATGACAGGCCCCGAACCCTTCTGTGGAGTTGCTAAGGCATTGTGCAAGACATCTATTAAACAATGGATGCAAAAGGAGTCTCAGGAATGGTGGAACAACTATCCAAGACTGAGAGAGGCCAAACAGTTCATCAAGGAACCATCGGCCAAATTCACGAAAGATCTACTGGATCAAAAGCGTTAAATCGTTAGGATAACAGTAGGCCTTCTTACTGGACACTGTCGCCTCAAAAGGCACATGAGTGTTATAAATCCAGCAAAAGAAGCAACTTTATGCAGGTTCTGTGAAGAAGAAGAGGAAACATCATTCCACGTCATGTGTCAATGCGAAGGCCTGGCTGGCATGAGGTTTCTAACATTGGGCGAAGAAAAGCCAATTGCATGCTACTACATGCGGGAGCCACTGTCAAAGCTACTAAGTCTAATTAAAAAGACCAGGCTAGACGACATACTCTAAAACAAACGGAGTCCCACAATAGATCTGAAAGGGTCGCGGTTGACAAGGACAAATAACGTCCAACTCCTAATCTAATCTAATCTAATCTACTCTACCCTTCCTGGTACTGACAAACGTTATGATGTATATGAACACTGTCCAGTAAATGACGACTTAAAACATCCCCTTCGTTGCAGACTACAATCTTGTTCTAGCAGAACAAGAATACGTTGTAGAAAGTGCAATGCTTACGTATGTTTTGCTAAGGATAAAAATTGTTTTGTCAATTTTCATAGGTCTCAATAGGACTATTATTACATTTTAAATTTTACATTGGATACCTTTGTTTACTTTAATATAAACTTTTTTATTAAATACTATTATTTAATTAGTACAGTCCTGCAATACACAATTGTGACATACTCACAATTGTGAGGAAAAGTGATATACACCCAAAAGGTACAATTGTAGCCTGTTTTTTTTTGTAAAAATTATGGTTGGAAAAATCTGAAAAAAAATTAGTGACTTTTTATGACTTCTGATAATAGGAAACAATAAAATATATTGTGTTTGACTTATTATTGCACACTCAGGTCTGTAAGTGTTAAAATAATGTCAAGCAAAAGACCATCTTATGTGCACAGAAAAATAATATTTCGAACGGATGTGCCTAATATTATTATTATTAGGTATAAGGGAACACTTACTCCACCTATGTTTCGTACAGAATATTTTAAAAGATGTTTTAGATATCAAATTTGTCTCGTCTATAATGTCATCCCACAAAAGTAAAAGTATAAAATTATTAGTTATAATTCCTTCAGAGTAAAACTTAAGACATTTGTGCTGAACACTCGCCAATAATTTTTTTTTAATGGTTTGCTGCTTTTTTATTAGTTTTTTTAATAGTTTTTTTTAATTAGTTTTTTTATAAGTTTTGTTGATTTGTTTTCCCTTCTGTTGATTTATGTGTTTTTAATATTTTTATTTTTCTTTTCGTATCATAGGGATATTTTCTTAAGGGTTAAGTGGTAGAACAATTCAGTGAATATGTTTCAAGCTTAGCCGCTGAATTGAACTTCGCCCTTTGCTTATGTTAAATTTCTTTTTCTTTTTTTTTAATTTAATGTAAATTTATTTAAAGCTATAAAGACATTATTATTATTATTATTATTATTATTATATAGCTGTAAAAATTGCCTAAATAGAGATGAGAAAAGTATTCGAAGTCATCAAAGTCACTCAGGTACCCCAAATAAATCAGCTAAAATGTGTGTAAACACACAACCAAAATAAAGTGAGTTTTAAAGAAAAATAATTGACTGTGAATTCGAGAGGCTCTAATGATGGACAGTAATGTTATTTTCGACAAAGAGCCTTCTGTAAAGTTTGACTAAGTCCCTACTAGTGAATTTCAAAATATAAATAAACAATCATTGGTAACGAAAAGAAAAGACGATAATGCAGGCAATTTTTATCACGATAGTCAATGCCAAAGAAATTACCTGTATTTGAAAGCATCCATTTAAATGGCCAAATTTTATTACATAATTTAAAAACTCTCCGAAAGTGAGTAGATACACAAACGAGGAACATTTAGGTCGCCTTCAAAATTGTTTAAAAAGAAAAATTGTAAAGTCTATGGTAACTTCACCTCGAAATGTTACAGAAATAATACAAATGTTAGAAAAAAAAAGTGGAAAATCTGAAAACATTTATGCTTTTAGAAGAAATAAAAAAGACAATTTGGTTTAAACTGATAATTTGAACAACTTCTCTGACGAAGTAAGGAATTTAGTTTCAACAATAAAAAAGAATCATCTCTAAAATCTTATATTGCTGGAGGAACCAATTAATAAACTGTATACGAGCTACAAGATGTCATGGGCAGAGAATTTTTAAATATAAGTCCTTGTCAAAAACTAATGAAATTCGGCTTCTAGTTACAGAAAAAAGCTGAAGCAGCATCATCTCTTGAAGTTAATATACATTTTGATGAAAATCATGATCATAGTAATAGAAAATACAAATCCAGAGTGGTCACAATTACAGAAGATGTCAAAAAAAAAATATTTATGTAGTCATGATATTCGTCCACTGAAGACATTTTTATCCGCAATTAAAGAAGAAAAATGTTTTTGTATTTCATGCCTATTTCCAAATATCAAAAATTTCAAAAACACAAAAAGTTGTGAAATAACGGGTGTAAAAAAACACAAAACAGACTTTTGCACAAAAATTAACAAATGTAAAACCAAATAATCACTAGTACATGGCTTCAGAGCAGAAAGTTCATTTGAAAATAATACCTGTCCTCCTAAAGGAGAATGAAAAAATAAATCGTATGGTATATTAGATGAAGAATCAATAGTAAGTTTAAGAGCAGAAGAGCTGGGCGATGAACTTTAATTAGTAGGGTCTCAAGAATTACTTTCTTTGCAATAGACCAACTAGAAGATATTTAAGAACTGTAAGCCTTTTAATTGGTGGAAATTTTCCGAATACAAAGATATTTGAATGTACTTGAATGTACATAAACTTAAACCTACCCATTCAGACGATTTTTTGTTTTAACATCAATTTATGACATCAAAGACATTATAAATGGTAAACATATGATACTAATTGGACATTGATAATTAGTAGACAAATAAATATTCGATGTTCTATGGTCTGGTCCAGTTAAAAGCAAAAAGTTTTGATATATTATGAGCACTTCAATTCAAACCAAAACATTACATAAAAATCCTCCTTACGCTTACTAATGGGTTTTCGAAACAAATATAACCTTACCATGTTCATCAGGGTTAAGATATACGTTTCGATATCTCCATCTTGATGAAAATCCACCATACTCGCATCAGCCACTATAAGGGTCTCCACATAATGGTTCAAACTTATCGACCTTTGACTTCTGCCGGGTTTTTCAACTTTGCCAGATTTTCTTCTGTATTTAAACTTTTTCATGTTTCCTTTTTGAACTGTCGGTATTTTAACAACAGATTTGCGATTATGTTTCTTCCTTTGAACTTTTAGTTTTCCTTGTTCGGTTTGCCATTCCAATCTAAAAAAATATTTAATTACACAATTATAATTTATACAAATCATAATTTAAAACGTACAATGTCCATCTTCTTGGTATTTTAGTTCCACAATTAGTTTGTCTTCTTTTCTTCTTTTTTCTTTTCTTTGAGTAACTGGTCACTATTGCAGACCTTTTGTAAACGAGATGCTTATGAGCTGGTTCTATCTTTTTTAAAGGATGATTGGCTGGTTCTATGTAGTACTTTCCTTTTTGGGAATGTATTATGCCCGTCTGAAATAAATAGTAATTCTAAACATTACCAAATTAAAAAATATCTATGTATAGTTGATATCTTTATAGAGATGTAGTGGAAATATTCTGTCAGTAAAAAGTATATATAAAAGTACAAAGTACAAGGTTGAGCAATTTATTTCAAATAGCATAACTTGAAGACCAAAAAAAGGTTTAATTTCTTTTAAAATTACATTTTTTTATTTGCTTAACCTAATACTAATTAGGTTTCCATGGTTTGAAATCTCTTTTGATTCACAGTTGCTGTAAAAATTACATTCAAACTGATTAAATAAGAAATGATGTTAGGGAGGCATCTACATCTAAGAAAGAAGCATGGCCTTCTCAGTTCAGACTTCAGCTATAATATTCGAATTTAAAAATTGTTATTTTTGTGCACATTTTGTAAAGGCAAAAATAAAAAAGCCTTTGGACAAAAGAAGAACTGTACGTTCAGTTGAGATTCTATCTTTTCAAAATCGTATCAGGAAAGCGTGTTCTATGAGAAAGGTTTTTTAGGGTGAAACATTTCTGGGTAGTCTGTCAACCATTAACAATCTTGTTGCTGAGCAGGCAGTTTACCACGAAGACTGCAACCACACTTTTTAGAAGTCTATCAGCTTTCTAACTCCAAAATCGAAGATCCCCAGGGACAGGCAGCAGGCATGTTACACAGGCTATGGAGGAGATTTTTGCCTGCATAGAGGCAAGCACCGATTGTCAGTCTTTCCAAGATGAGATACTGGGTACCGTAATTGTGGCAAACCATCAAGGTTCAGTTTTAAAGAAAATATGGAGATCAAAAACTGATCATTCCAGGAGTCGACAGATTCAGGGTGCTCGTGTATGTTTGAGAGAAACTGGGTACACAATTATCAATGAAACTTAATACGAGACAGGGCCAGAAGTGAAGAAAATAGCAGATTGAGGATTGTTGCTAAAGTTATAAAAAAATTTACAAGACATTTAGCACAGACATATATCCACCCAGTGACGACTGTCTGAAGAATTAGCATGTATACTGCCTCGATCCTTGACTTTTTTCCTTGAGGGCAAAATATATTAGATAATACATAGCTGTAACAAACGATATTTGTGCCTCAGGAATGATAAAAACAACTTTTTCTGAAAATGACGAAATTTTACGCACGGTGTTGTTTTTGTTTTTTTCCTCTTCTTCTCGAGACGTTTTGCGCCCTTAACTCTTAAAAATGGTATAACTGTTGACCAGTTAGAAATAAATTGGCACAATATTCTTAAAGGGATTTTAATTCTTTACAACTTCCTTAGGGAGAATTTATTTGGCAGATTAAAAGTTTAGACGATAAAAATGAATGTTTGATGAATAATTTTAGGAAAAAATCATTTTTTTTTAAATTTCACTTTTACGGAGCGTGCAGCTCGAAAGAGGTTGAGATTTCAAAAAAAAAAATTGTAAAAAAAGTTGTAGAGAATTTCGCTAGCTGGTATTTGAAAATGTTGGCCTACGACGCGACGCAACATTTTTGAGATATAAGCGACAAACCTAAAAGTGGACTCTTCTTTGTATCATCCACCCTTCGGCTCACCTTTTAGACGTCAGGACTTTTAATGTTCACTCCCTAAGTACCCTAAACAAGTTTATGAAGGAATTGCTTAGGTCTCTGGTCACACGCTATACACCTTTTTTAGTTAAAATGATTTGGATTCTGCTCTGTCAAGGTATGAAAGGAGCAATTTCATGCAACTGAATGAAGTTTGTAGTTTAAATTGTTTCCCATAAAAAAAAATCGAAAATTTATGCACATTTTAAATTGAATCCAAAAAAATTAAAATACATTCGCCAGTTAAAGACATCGGTTTCGTTAATAAAAATTAAATTAAATAGAAACTCACTATAAAGGAATTGTATTTAGTCATTATTCATACTCGTTTTGATCTAAGTAAGTGTTTGATCTTAGTTCGTTTTTTTAATATTTTTGACTGTTTTTAAATTTTGTATATTCTTCGTTGTGTTGTGAAAAATAATAAAGATTTTTAAATGATGAATAAAAATGTTTTTTATCCATTTAATAAAAATCGGAACCAAAATATGTTGGTTTATTTTTATTTGCTTTGCTCTACATTGGGGTTTGTAAGCAAAACACTGATTTTAAGGCATTCAAAAGACCCGTTTTCAAGAAACATCACGGAATCACTTAAAAATAACCACTTTATATAAATATATATATATTTTTTTAAATAAGGCTAGATTTTTTCTAACAGATCAAATCGTCGAACCATGTACTTTTAATTAAAAAAACCTTTCGTTTTGTTTTAGCAGAATACAGTATCCAAAATGTAAGTAGTGTTATATGATATTGATAGTTATTTTATAATACGGGGTGAAGAAAAATATATTTATATATTTCAATTTAACAAAACATCAGTAATACATTTTACATATTTTTTAATACGCTTTTATTAGCTTGGTATCTATGTAACGGAATCTTTGAACGTAATTTTCACCCCCTTCGAAACGTCTGATTGATTTGAAACTTTGGACACTTATCAATATCCGATGACAATGCAATAATTTAAATAGTTTGTCCCATTATCCTGATCAGGACCTTCAGGATTAGCGATTTTCCAAACCCGATACCGTGTGTTATTTCTGTGGAAAATTTATATCAAATTGTGTTCAATGTCAGGGATTGAGGGGAGGGAGTGCATTCTTAACATCTCTTTAGATCCTCTATTTATCCATGTACTCATTATTATGATTAGTCCCAATAAAAACCCAGCTTAAGTTCGCTTTAGATGCAGTTAGTCAGTTATTCCTGTGGTAACTTTGTGATATCAGCGAAATTGTCAAATATTAAGATGGATTTCAGCGAAATCACAGAAATCGTAAGAATTTTAGGTGGTTCCCGAAATACGAATGCGTTTTGACCTTAGTGGTTTACGATTCGGTTTTCCATAAATAATTTCAAAAAAGTTAAGCACGAATTTTTCAATTCAATTCAAACAAAACTGAATAAATACTGACGGAAGTATATTTGTATAAATAAAATTGAATAAAACAGTTTGTAGAATAGTTATTACAAAATAACTAAAAAGTAGAATATTAATAATAGTAAAAAACTAAAAAAGACGCTTTAATAGAAGAGCAAACTAAAAAGTAGAAAATAATTTTCAATAAATTTAAATTAAGAATAGTGTGATTAACAAAAAAATTACTTTTATTGTAGAAAAGTGTGGGGTGCTTAATGTCAATTGTTATAATATTTTAATGACAGATATTGGTAAAAGTAGAGTCATTATGCATATATCTTAAATGTTAAAATAACACAATGATAAATGTAATATTTTCTATCAATTAGACATCTTAAAAGAGGTGGGATCGAGAGCAAATTAAAATCGTAACCATCAAAGCTGTGAAAATTATTCAAACTGTTCAAATTGTTTTCCATATTCTACTAAACATTTATCAAATCTTTGAAAGATGGATAATAAGTAATAAATTAATTATTATGGTTAATTTAACAAATTCCGATTACAGTCATGAAAATATTGTCTGGTAAAATGGTAAACGGGAGGAAGGATAATATAAAAATATAAAAAATATAATAGTTATTTATGCAACCAGTTACGAAATGCTCTATTTTATGTAACGAGTGAATATTTCCGGGACGAGCAGAGTAGGTCTCGCAACATGAACAAGTTACAATAAACGGCATTTCATAACGTGTTATATACAATTTTTTTTTTTAATTTTACCTTGATGATTTAAAAAATTGTGTTCATTAAAAAATGTTGCCCTATAATTCCCAGCTAGCACATAACGTTGCCAAGCCTTCCGGCGATGTTGTTTTAAGGGAACGTAATAACATTACCATACAACGTAACTGCAACGTTCATGAGAAGTTGTTAAGGGAAATCAAAACCTCGCTAAATATCTATTTGTTACTTACGTATTTAACCTGCCTGTTATGATAACACAACGTAATAAAGTAATTTGCTAAAAAGTATCCACGAGAAGTACATCTTGTTTACGAACGTAGCCATTGGTTTGTCATAAGTCAACAAAACATAATAAAAATATCACTTGTCATTTTTTGTTGTATTTATTTGAGAATTTAAAGAAATTGTAATTTTTATTTTGTAAACTATTTATACGTTTAAATATGTTTGGTAAGTTCTTTTCTTCTTTTTAATAAAATAGAAACATATTTTCTAATTGATTGTCTGTTGTTTTAGATTGCAATATTTGTTTCCAACTACAATAAAAAATAAATCATTGTAAACGTGAAGATGCAATTAAATGACTGCCTATATTTTACACGATAATAGGGATCTTATTGATGCCTCAATACTATAGAAGTAACGATATTAAACAATAAAAGTATCGATATTTAGGCACGGATACTGAATTACCAATAATATCGCCATATCAATACTTAGAAGCAAGTATCGTATCGCTATGTGTGTGGTCAGGGATAATAAGGTTTGTTTAAATATGCGTGAAAACCGTAATATTTACGCTCAACTTAAAAATTGCATACACCGCATGATTTGTACCGAAATATTTTAGTTTTTGCATGTGGTGGAACTTGGAACAGACCTTAATATGATTAAGTGTTACCACTGTTTTTTTTTGTTATTTAATTATAAGGTAAATTGCCAGTTATTGACACTATAATTTATAATAGTACCAGTAGAGAAAGAAAAGGTGTTAACAACTGTCAACTACAGAATATACTTTACTGATGCAAATCTTGTTCTTAGTTAAGTTCTCCACTTCGCCCTGTTGAATGGGGTTTGTCAGCCGTTTAAAAACAATCTTTTACTTGTTCAATACTTTGTTACTCGATACTTATACATATCGATATTTTTAACATAATATCGAACAGTATCGATGCCTCTACCACAAAATATTTCACATGATACCGGTATCGATACCTTTGACCGATACTTACAACCCTACTCCCAACTATACAAAATACAAAAACAGAGAAGTCATAATATACTACCATCCTAGC